AGGACCTGCGCGCCTCGACCCGCCGGGCGGCTGCCTCGGGGGCCGGTGGGGGTTTCCCTGTCGAGAGGTTGAACCGCGGGGCCCGCAGGCTTTGCGACGGGGAGAAGAGCTGCTGCCTGCCGCGCCGGCACGCTGGAGCTGCCGAGTGTTTGCGCGTGGGTGGAGTATTTAAACTGTTAACCTGTGGCCAGCCGTTCAGAGGACGGTTGCAATGATCTTTACTCTTGCTAGTAAGACTTTTCTGACTTGGTTTGTTCTAACTGCCTGCAGCGGGCGGTTCAGAATCTGGCTCAGCGAAGTAGTCCACCTGGGGAGCCGAGCATACAACAGATGCTCCAGAGAGGAAGAAAAGTGTAGTTGTCCCGCGTGTCTCCGTGTGAAGCGTCACGCTTCAGCTAAACGTTCGGTCTCTCAAGGCTTATTTACTGGATACGGATCTATAGACCTGACGAGAGAATGGCTTGTGACACCTGGTACTCTGCGTGTGTCCCCTGGCTCTGAGGTCGTACCTGTTCCGTGATACCCCCTCTGTGTGGGTAATACTGCAAAATTAATAGTGACCACGCGCCTCCCGTGGCAGATGAGCTAGCGGACCCGCTACGTGCATGCGAGAAGAGATTGAATTTGAGCGCTTGTAATTAACCCCTTCTCTTGTGATTTGCCAGCGTTGTATTTCTGACTTGTTGTCCATGTCTTTATTGCGTGGAGGTTGATTTTATTTACTTGTTGGCTATTAATACATGGAGAACTGTAGCCGAAGATAACTTGTACACTTGGAGCTTGTTTATGGGCTGGATGGTGGGTTATAGCAAAAGGTGTAACGAGTGCAGTTGGGTGGATTTTAGCTGCTCTGGTTTGGGCCCTGCACAGAACTGGCTGAGGAACACTTATCCTGTTCTGTTGAATCTGCTATTTTCTGGAATACAGATTGGAATTGGTTAAAATACACAAAAATATTAAATTGTAATGCGTTACCTAATAAGCCTATTTTCAGCAAGGTGGTTCTTTAAAGAAAAGTTTAAATAAGTTGGTAACCATTTCCTCTGTGATGCTGGTAGAAATGTCATTCACTTGTTTTTTAAGAACAGCTTAATGAAGGTAGTTCCTTATGGTTTGTTTTCTCAATCTCTTAAAGGGATATAAGCCACTAACTCTGGAAGACAGTGTTTTCTGTTTTTTTTTTCTTTAACTGAAAAGTCACTATTTTTATGCTTGTACTACCTTAAGCTGCTTAATGGCATTCAAACACTAAATAATGCTGAGCTCTCCTGGTCAGTCTTAACTGTGATTTTTTTTTTTAAGTGCGTTTTCTTCAGTATTAATTAATCAGACTTATTCTAAAAGCATGCAAACTAATAGCCTTACAGTAAAAGGGAAAAGATTTATGAATGGAGGTGGTGACAGTCACTGACTATCTTCAAGCTAAGTCTGTTTAAAAAAAAAAAAAAAAAAATCTGTGTTTAAAAATGGAGGGGGGGAAGGAGTTTTGAAATGCTAGCTCTCCTGGTAGAAATGATATTTTTTGTGGACTTACTGTGGGTCACGTGGCTCTGATTTTTATGTGGTGCTAGGTGAGTTGTGCTGCAGTAGCGTTACACAAGCTGCCCAGGCTGTAACAAACCATCGTGTCTTGAAAGCATTCGTAGAACAGACTTACCTCTCCTGGTGACAGAACTAATTTTAAGCAGCAGAACTGTCTCAGGCTAAGCAGAGCCCTCACTAAGGTGGAGAAGTATTTGCGGGCTTCATCTTTCCAGGCAGCGCTCCGAGACTTGTATACGGATCTTCATTAGAAACGTGACTTCATGCTATGTAAGGCTAATATCCCGTCATCCTTTACACTATGCACAACAAAACATGACAGTTGGTAAGTGTGCTGTGTGTTAAAATGGTCTTGTAAAAGCTTAAAATTTCAGCTCAGTTCACTAGGCTAACTACGAATTTTCCCCTTTACCTTCATTTTTGTTCTATAATTCCCCTGTTCCTTTATCTCCAGCGTCCAAAGTAGAGGGTTGATGTGTTGTTGACCGACTCAGTTGTACAGCTGCTGCCTAACTTGGGACCTTAATAGGAAGGATTTTGCTGTTCTTTCCAAAAGAGCTGTCTACAAATGACACTTCAGATTGTTTGTTTCTGTATACTCTGAAACAGCTTAACAGCAACACAGTACCGCATTCTCATCAATAAGACTGCTGTTAGTTAAGGTATATGTTGTGTGTGCTTATAAGCATGCTCACTTCAAAATCTGTTTGGTCAGAGAGGATAATTATTCCTTAGTTGGCACAACAAAAACGAAGTCTTGTTCTCTTGGTCTGGGTGTGCTGTGTATTGTCAGCCAGCAGGCCACTGTGCCTGTTGTGTGTGTTTAATAAAGCCCAAAGCAAAATCCTGCGTTCGTGAGCTTCCAGAACCAGCATGTCCCCCTTAAAACCATCTCGCAAACGGAGGTTGCAAAACTTACTCTTCACTACTCATCTCTCTCCGACTAGGAGAAAGCAGCACACATCTCCATCAGGTAATTTTTATTTCTAGGGCTAGAACAACTTCCTCCCCTTGCTCGAGCAGTCTGTCTGCATCTTTAGATCACTGCCTGCACTAGATACACGATAAACAGCCTTCTAAAGTGAAACTAACTTATTCTACAGCTGGGGTTTTTATTTTTGAAGGGGGAGGGGGGATGGGAAGAATGTCTGCATCGTGGAAACTTCCTGTAAAACAAAACTATTAAAATAGTTTTTACAGTGGACACTTCTGAGATTTTCCCTCTCTGTCCCAAATTAATTGTACTGTAGGGGTTAATAATGGGAATTCATAAGGAATTCGGGGCACACGGGGATGAGGGATGTTAAGATAGCACATGAAGGTGCAGAATGAATTGCTCAACTACATCGAGCATGGTGGAGAATTTTTGAAGCTGACCTTGGAAGATTTTCTTTAAAATATTTGAGGTTTCTAGTTAAGTCTTCAAACTCCAGCCTGCAAGTACCATAAATGAGTTCTACCCTTTTTAAGTGAAAAAGCTGGAACTCTTGCCTGATGACTCAAGGAATTAAACAAAGGGGAGCAGGTACAGAACACAGGAAAGTGTTGTCGTAAGTTGCTTTTCAGGTTATAATGCTTACTCATTCTTTATTGGCAATGTGACAATAAGGAACTGAATTAAAATGAGTTTATACTTGTTTTATCACTGAAAAGCTAAAAACTGATATTCAGCGTGTGCAAACAATGGATTTAGAACAGGAAAAGCTCTTGTTCATTCTAGCAGAGGGAGGGGAGCGTGGGTTAACCTTGACTGTCTTCTAGAGAACGCAATTGCATATCTGGTGCTACAGTTGTCAAGATATATCATGTTTTAGGGTTCTGGCTCCCACTCGTCAGGTGACAGGGTGCAGCCGCAGCAAGGATAAGTACGTGTTTCTGACCTTCATTTCCAGCTACTTTGGTGATATAAAAGCTAAGAGGTGACCATGGGTAGAGAACTAAGTATTTTGGGTATACTCAAAGATCCCAGATCTAGGAAGATGTGAACTTGTTTCATTGAACTTCGTTTTCTTATCGAGCTTAGGGCTCGCTGCTTCTCCTGCGAGAATACACTAATACACATGCCCTTGCTCAAAGCACCGTAGAACTTGGCATGCTTACCCTAATGGCTTGCACCCCTGAGAGGCAGCGAGAGGGGGTGTGTCTGATGTGTGCGTACGCTGGTACATCCTAACGTTAAAATACAAACGTAATGATGCGTTTGGCTGACATACGACAGTTAGTGGAACGGCACTCAGTGTGTTCACATAACTACCTCGTTCAATATTACAGTGATCTAGCAAATTCTTGTTCCTTTTTGCGGCACTCATCTCTTCAGGATTGTAGTATTACAGCTGGAGTTACAGCATGTGCACCACCTGTGCTAGAGGATCAGATATGCTTTCCTGCCACCATAACCAGAAAACGTTCTTATGCTTTGTTAGAATTCATCTGCTTGTATGAAATTTCAATTTCCTGGCAGAGGCCATGATTGACTTTTTTTTTCTTTTTTTCTTCCCCAAAGTGATTACAATCCATTTGCAAATTAGTGGTTTAGCTGCAACAAAAGTTTAGTATTATAATTCTTGCCTTGAAGACTCACCCAGGCATATAAATAAATATAAATTCTACCTTCTGTAATTGTTACTGGCGCCTTTCCTTATCTCGTAGCTTCCCGCTAACTGAAGGATGTCAGCCATTGGCGTAGTGTCCTCCTGTTCCTGTCTCCGTCCTGGCGTATGGCTGCTGAAACCAGGGATGCAGAAGATGAGCTCCTTCGGCTTACATACAGCAGCCAGGTGTGCTGCCAAGGATTATTATGAAGTACTTGTGTTGGGTGGAGGCACTGGTGGAATCACCATGAGTGCTCGGATGAAGAGGAAAGTGGGGGCAGGAAATGTGGCTGTTGTTGAGCCAAGTAAGGTAAGTCTTCCTCGGACGGAAAGCATCGAAAAGAGTAAGCGTTTTACGTATCTGACCAGATTGGTCTGATTCTCATCCTTCTTCAACCTCATGTTTTTAACTGTGGAGGGGAAGCCAACTAGCCATCTTTTAATGCAAAGCCTTCTAAATTTGTTGCTCCGTGATAGAGATGCACGCATCCCTCCAGCTTTGTCATGCAAAACTCTTGGTTAAGAATAATACAATGTTAAGAGCACATTGCTTCCTATTTGAGGTGATGTGCCTTCGTCTTAAAGTCCCTTTAAACAGTTCTTAAGTGTCCATTTGAACATTTCTTTCAGACTCATTACTATCAGCCACTGTGGACCCTGGTTGGTGGTGGTGCAAAGCAGCTGGCAACTTCTGCACGTCCAACAGGCAGCGTAATGCCTAAAGGTGTTGAGTGGATCAAATCTCGAGTTACAGCATTGGATCCAGATAAGAACTGCGTCTGGCTGGAGAATGATATCAAGGTAATAATGTGAAAAAAAACCCCAACATTACTCTTAGTCTCTTATTCAATGTCATGAGTTGTCTGTCCACCTCCTGCAGAACCCCTTGGAACTGCCTATTAAGCAAGACCTTCCTCCAGCATCTAGAAGGCCAGGAAATTCCACTTAGTCGTATGAGAAGTACTTGATCCTAAAATCTGTTTCTAGTAAAAATTGTTGTAGATAACTAGGTTAGAATAACATGAACTTAAAATATCATTATAAGTCTTTTCCCTGTTTATAGTAAACTGAACACAAAAGAGAGAATATTTTGTTCCAAACACTCGGTTTTGTGTGTAGCGAAGGCTGTGTGTATAACGTGTAATGCAGTTAGCATTTTAACAATAAATTGTTCTTAGAGCTTAACATTTACTTTACTAATGCTCCCTGTATCTCCTTCCCTTATGACTCTGTTGCTGTCAGATAACTTAAATTTGCTTTGAGGTAATGTTTTGGGTTTTGTCTAAAATACTTTTTTTTTTTTGCCCTTACACAACAGATATCTTACAAGTATCTGATAATTGCCCTTGGGATTAGTCTCCATTACGAAAAGGTATTTGTTTAACAGTAATCGTGTTTTTACTAGTTTTAATGGCATCGCGTACCCTCATGATTCACTAAAGTAAACGGCTTTTCAGTATGCTTTTTTTACTGCAAGGTATTGAACGCTAATACAAATGAAAGAGCCAGAAGACAGCCTAATGACTTTACTGCTTCCACAGATCTCTGTGTAATAACCCAAATCACCTTGGGAAGGTCTTTTAAGACAGCTTTGTTGCACCTCTACGGTAATATCAGCAGATGGGGCAGCAAGTTAAATGTAGAACTTAAAGGCAGTCTGTAATAATGAGATAATGAGGTATGCTGGCTGTAGTCTGAAGCATCTCTAATGTAAACAGGAGTGGGGAACACAGAGCAGCCAGTAAAATCTGTCCTGCAGAATTAATCTGACCCACCCTCACCTTTCTTAAAGGATGCACTTCAGAAGGAACCAGCTGAGTTACCACGCTTGTGGTTAAATAGGCCCTGGGGCCCTTCCCATCTGTTAGGTTTCCTGTATGCTTTATACAGTGGCACTCAGAGGAAAATGTTAATACCACCGTATGGCGCAAGAATGACCATAGCGATATGGAGGAGGAGGAAAACCCAAAGGCAAGATGTTTGAGCGATTTGGCTCCAGTGGTTTTAGCTTGACCTGAACGTGATGTAGTACCCGATAATATATTTGGGAGCTATTCAAAGAGATACTCAAGGCATACATAACGCAAGAGCTAGTCTTAGTTAACTGCGGTCACACCAGATAAATTCTGGTGATTAGGTCAGCGGAATGAGGAATTGCACTGTGTTCAGCGACCCTCTCAGCCTTCATATGTCTGCAGTGCAACCTGAGAAAACTAAATTCAGCATTCAGTAGTAGAAGCCACGTAATACAGTTAACCGCTATTACTCTGTAGTGAATAAAATTCATAGTAACAGATTTATATGGCTTTAAAATGAAAGCGGCCAGTTTAAAAAGGATGGTTTCTCTTATTTGTCTTCCTAACAGCATACTTCCTGGTGTAAACTGTGACATCCCAAACACATTGCAGTGCATGTAACATGACTCAGTTTTCTCACAGAATTTCTGCAATCCGTTATTTTGAAATGGGGACAACTCCCTTTCTCGTAAGCAGATGCTCAGGCATAGTAGGAGTAGTAGGCAAATAATTATTGGAGACAGTTGAGTTAAAACCCTAGGAAATGCAGGTATCTGCAGCTGACTACTGAAAAGGTTCACTCACCTTATAAATTTTCATAACGCCTCTTTCTTTTTTTTTTTTACATGATTTTTACTTATGATGATGTGGCAGTGACTTTATATATTCTTACTCTGAATTTCATGCGCTAGTCTACAAAAAACTCGGGTCTGGGTCTGCACTGAACACTTACGCTACAAATGTTGCAGACCAGAGTCATTTCAGTAAATGTTACATCTACCAAATCAATCATCTAATGGAAATATCTGATTGCTAGGCTTATTTTAAAAAATGCCAACTAGCAAGTATGTATGGGCTTTCTTTTTGCTAGAGGCTTCTTAAATAGTTATTTCTCAAGTCTGCATTTAATAATTGACAATGATGACAAAATTTTTGCCATCTGTACTTTAAACCTTAATTTCATTTTCTTAGATCAAAGGCTTGCCTGAGGGTTTTCATCACCCTAAAATAGGTTCCAATTATTCAGTTCATACGGTAGAGAAAACGTGGAAAGCTTTACAAGATTTCAAGGAAGGAAATGCTATCTTCACTTTTCCAAATACTCCAGTGAAGTGTGCAGGGGCTCCTCAGAAGATCATGTATTTATCAGAGGCCTACTGGAGGAAAGTAAGTATTTTACTCTCTCTGTCAGTGCTTGTTCCCACAGCTGGAAGGAAGGCTTGTTCGAAGGGTTTCATATGATCTTTAAAACAAATAAAGACCACACAAGAGGAGTGTGACTCAGGATTATTAATTTAAAGTGACTGAGTTGCTTTTTCTATTACTAATGTATAATAAATGAAGCTAACTGAATTGTACATCAATACTTAGCATATATTTAATACTGGAGAAACTTGTAGAATTCAGAATCCGTAAGGAAAGAACTGCTTACCCTGCTTCTGGTGAGGTACAGAAACAACTGTGCTCAGCCTGACTTATAACGTCAGGTGGTGCACTAAAATAATGCTGGCTGGAATTAGGTAATTCTTGTTGCTTTAAGTACCTAATACCTGTTGCCATTTGTCTTTCTGCTAGTCTGAAAAGTGGCTATGCTTGCTCCTTGTGGCGCACTGTCTCGGCATCAGGAGGAGCCTTAGCTAGGCTGTTAAAGCAAGCATAGTGGAAACAAAAGACATCTTCAGGTGGAGGTGTCAGGCTTCAAGTTTCATGAGCTATCTACTGGGCAAGTATCTGAATAATGCATAGAACTGAAGGTTTCAGAACGCTATATAATGCTAAGCTGTTACAAGTGCTTAACCTGCATGCAGCAGTTCCTCAGTGAATTGCAGCCACCTCTTCTCACTAGCGATCTGGGGGGGGGGGTGTCTTCAGTACCTCACTCAGAAAGGGCAAAGATTATCTTGTCTAGCTTCTAACATGGTGTGAAATAACTGTATCTCGAGAGTTCTAACGTTAATACTTCATTAATAATTGAACTGCATTAATAGTTCTATCAGCTTTTCAGTAGTGCAGCATAGCTCTTTTGTCTCTGCTAGCTTGTCACGGTTTCTTAATAGAAAAGGCTAATTTGATCTCTCTGTGCAGACAGGAAAACGTTCCAAAGCAAACGTAATGTTCAACACTTCACTTGGTGTCATTTTTGGTGTTAAGAAGTATGCTGGTGCATTGCTTGAAATAATAAAGGAGAGGAATATTGCTGTTAACTATAAGCGCAACCTTGTAGAAGTTCGAGCAGACAAGCAGGAAGCCGTGTTTGAAAACTTGGACAAACCCGGAGTGACTGAAGTTCATCAGGTCAGGAGCTTTCAGACCTCTAGTTTGGTCCTATTTCTTTTCCTTGTATACCGTAACATAACTGCCACGCTATAACAACGTAATGTCTGCTTCGTTGTATACTGCTGTTACCTCCTGAGAGTACCATCTCTAACTTTAGGAGAAGATTAAAAAGTTTGAAACTAAGGTGGAGAGAAGAAAAAAATATTTATAAACTATGCCTGGAGTCTTGTATGCCTGGTTAGTGTAACTTGGGAATGTCTCAGATGTATATGGAGGAAGGCAAATTACTGTTATGCCAGTCTAAATGGAGTTCCCTGATAAGGTTCATGTTAGGATGCACTTCATCATGAAAGGATGAAAGGATGCACTTCAAATTTGAGAGCAAATTTTCATGCTGAATACTTGTTTAAAAAAAAAAAAAACACCACAACAAACCAACCAAGAAAACCATCTCCACACTGCTCTTGTTGCCTTTTATCAACACAGATATGACTTGCTCTGATAAACTAGCCATTGAGTGCCTTTTCTTTCCATCTAGTATGAAATGCTTCATGTCACACCCCCAATGGGGCCACCCGATGTACTCCTCAACAGTCCTGTCTCGGATGAAATTGGCTGGGTGGATGTAGATAAGGAAACTCTGCAACATAAAAAGTATCCTAATGTATTTGGCATTGGAGACTGCACCAACCTTCCAACATCAAAAACTGCTGCAGCTGTAGGTAAAGTTGCATGTGTGTGTAATGAAAAGCGTGGGAGTGACAGTAAGCTTTTTGTTTAGTTTGTTACTCCTGAGGTCTTGGCTTCAATTATTTCCAGCTTTCAAAAAGAACGAAGTCTCCTGGGCTAATTAGTTACAGACCATGCTGATGCCATTAAGCCACAGTTCTCTTGTTCCAAATGCCTCACGGAGGAACCAATTCTATTTTCTGTGTTCACGGAATGGCATAAAATGAGTGTACTACTCTTGCATTCCGTCATCATTCAGTAACAAAACTTTCTGCTCTTATCTCAGCAGCTCATGCGTATGTGTCAGCCAACTGATAAGTCACTGTTGAAGAATCACGTGTTCTGTCCATACAGCCACAGGGTCCAATATACAAACACTTCAGGCGTATGGTCTCACAACTAAAAAAAAATGCAGATAAGAAGGTGGAAAAAAAGAAAGGCAATACAGTATGTTATTGGTGTGGAAAAAAAAAAAAAGGCTGTGTAGTACGTTTGGTGTAATGTGAGGAATGGTCTAGTCAACTATTCCAGCAAACGGGTCTAGAATACTTCCCTTACAGCACTCAAAATGAAACAAAACTTCAGTGTGTCAGAATCTTAGTGTTTGGGAAGACTGAACAAGTATAACATAGCATAGGAGAACGGGCATAGGTTAAAAACACGCAGCTCAAGTTTCATAAAGCTTTAGCATGTTGGAAACAGTGAGGCCAAAGCATTAGTCCAATTTCCCCCCCCCCCCCTTATCTGGGACCGTAAACTTCCCAAACGGACTTGACATGGAAGTTCAATTACAGCTGAATTGTCCCAACAAAATGCCTGGCTAGTAGCGTTTGCTCTAGTAATAACAGTAACTGCTGCCTGAAACAAAGCCTTAATACACTTTTTTCCTTCCTTCTTACGTAGCTGCCCAGTCTGGAGTGCTTGATAAAACTATTTCCCTGGTAATGAAGAACCAGTTGCCAACTAAAAAGGTACCTACAGATCTTGTCTTAGGGAGAAGTCACCTTGACTGTTTTCTCCGTTCTTACGCAGGAAGCCTTGCACGCAGCTAAACCATGTGAACCGGAAGACAGGAAGGGCTTTGCATCAGCAGTTGGGGTGCTAAATGGCTAAATACTGTATGTCATAATTGAGTTGCACAATTCATATTCTTGATACTGCCGTTAAAAATGTTATCTGTTTAATTCCTTGACTTCTGAGTTGAAAAGCTGATTAGTCTGGGTCCTTCACCAACGCAGGTGATTTATTTAGAGTAAAAAACTGTTGACTAGTATAATCTAATCCCTACTCCAAGAAAACCCTTGCAAACTTTACACATCTGTACTATGTTAAACTTGCCTCCCCTGTACAGAACATGATCTTTTAAGGAGTTAAATTGAAGGTTTTGTACCACAGAAGATGTTAAGCCTATAACGATGTTGAAATTTCTCTTTGAGACTTGGCTTTCATTTTTACATACGGCTTCTGAATTAATATTCCTTGGGGTACTAACCCGAGTATCATCATCCATACTCCTGCAATCCTCTGGAAATTCTTACAGCTATAGTCAAGATCCTGTTTATATACTGTCTTATTAAAGCTAGCACCAGCTCTCATCCCGATCTACAGGTCACCTACTCTGCTGGTTACAGTAACCAGCAATTAATGACACAAAGCCCTATTGTTCTAGGTTAGTTCTAATTTAAGCAATGTTGTTAAGTAAATCAACAATCTACATTTGAGATAAAATGGCTTAGTGTTATGGTTATTAAACCATAATTGGCTTAGCAGCCTTTCAAACTCACTGGTATTAATGCTATAAATGTGGAAACCTCCTAATAACTCATTTTGAAATAATGAATGTTAACAGTAATACCTCAGCATTTCGACTTTGCTCAGATTAACGAGAAGGGGGTATTCTTCATTGCAGTATGATGGATACACTTCCTGCCCGCTAGTAACAGGCTACAACAAGGTGATTCTAGCAGAATTTGACTACGACGGTCAGCCTTTGGAGACCTTTCCCATCGACCAGAGTAAGGAGAGAGTCACCATGTACCATATGAAAGCCGATATGATGCCTTTTCTCTATTGGAACGCACTACTCAAGTAAGTATTTCAATTCTGAGCAGGCAGAGCTGCTGTGATCATTCAGAAAAAAGCCAGGTACAGATACCTGTTCTGGCTTAGTTCCTTAGTAGCACAGAAGCAAATGAAGTGCATCCTTAGCCGTGACTAAGACCTCAGCTTTCTGAGGATTCTGGGCACTTTGCTCCTAACAGGGGTTTGTTCAAGCAGAATAGGGTTGAATTGCACAGAAGGGCACCCCTTGCCCAAGTGAAAACCTGACTGAAGCAAAGATGATTCTCCAAAACAAACCCCCAACACTCATCTCTCAGCAAGTATGGTATCTTATGGGAGTAAAACAAAAACATTCCCCTCAAACCCTACTTTGATAGTACATACATAAAATTTGATGAAACTTTCTCCGTTTCCAGGGGATACTGGGGAGGACCGGCTCCTATCAGGAAGCTAATGCATCTGGGCTTGAAGTAACTGCTGGTTCTCAGTGTTGGTCAAACTCTTTTGAAGAAAAAGGATTGGTCTCACAGTGGATCAATACAGATCTTTGCTCTTGGACAACCCCCTAGTAGACTGGTTTTTTTTTTTCTTTAAATCAAGCTTTTGTCCTAAACTCACTTTTCCCTCTACTAGGGATTAAGCCTTCCTATGTTCTTTCACTGCTCTTCTATGTAAACCAAGGCCTTAAACTACTTCTGTAGATACACAGCGAGTTTGAACTTAAGTGTGGACTTGCCTTAAGCTACAGTACACTACTGCAATCTTAGAGCAATCAATTTTAAAGCTGTTGTATATGTAGAATTTTTTCCCTGACTCTAAACTGAATTGTCTGCAGCCAAGATCAATGCATGCACTGGATTTAAGAGAATAATTCAATGCTAGTAAAATGGCCTGAAAACCTCCTATTGTTCTCTCATTTTTTGAAGAGCAAAATCAATCCTAATTTCTTCATCAAGAAGCATACTTGCTGCCTAATTAGATGGCTTATAGAAACTCATGCGGGTTATTGAACAGAAAGACCTCACAGCAGTGTATGTATATGTATATACACACCCACTCTCGTAGGATAGTTGTGCCACTTCACATCAGTTCCACTATAATGTTTTACTACCACAGGTTAAGAACATAGTGAAGAGAATTCCCAGTAGACTGGAGATTAGAAGACTGAGATCATCTGAGGCCACATACTAGGCTAGTGCACAAATTAAGATGACAGACAGGTGGGAAGTGCTTTTTAATTATGACCATATATAACTCAGTTTCAAGAGAAGATTGAACAAAGTTGAATTTAAGAGTTGAGTCTTCACAGAAGCTGGAACTTTACTGGCAGTCAGGTAGACAGCGCAGAGCAAACAGGAATCATCTTCACTCAAGAATCAGCAGCTTATTTCTAAACAGACATATACATTGAACATATTTCAAGTTACAGCTTCATGCTTTTTCAACATAGCCTTTAAAAGGGTTGCCTCTGAGTTATAATTACAAGCATGAACATGTACCTGCATGTTAAGTAATTCTTCGATCTTATTCTGGATCTGTCCATACACATCATTAAACAGCTCCTCCTTTGATTTTGTTCCATTTAAGTGCACTTAAAGAAAGAAAGTAAAACGAGAGCGCTATAATTCAATGTTTCTGTAAACCTGCCAGATCCCAATTTAAAGAGCATGCACTTGACTGGTATCACAGAAATATACTCCATCCACCTGCTTCAACTCCTCTCATGCATCTAACCAGGATGTATATCCCGGGTTTGAAAAGCACTCTCTCATAAAGCAATCTTTCAAAAGTGCTTTTGTCATTCAAGACTTACCCACATCAACTCCAAGATCTTCCATTATCTTCCTGTGCTTTACATACATAGGCCAAACATGGCCATCAAACAATCCAGGTGGATCTGGTACAGTGTAGTTCCTTGAACTATAAATTAAGACACTGTTATTCAAGAGTAGTCTAATTACAGTTTAGGGAAGTGACAGATGGTTCATTCAGTTTCTCTATACACTAGCCTGAGCCTGTTGCCTCCAATGTAGTTTCTGAGCTTATCAAAAGTCGGTATTTAGCAGGAGCTGCAAGCATAAAGATACCCAAAAAAAGTTGGAATTGGATATGTGGGCCCAAAGCATTCAAGATGCAAAAAGGATTCCTAAGACAGACTGATCTTAACATTGGTGAACAGCCTTCTCTTAAAGCTTTAGCAGAACTTCGGGTAAAATAGCTGTCTGCTTACTCCTCTGAAACGTAACTTTTTCAAGTTCAACTCATTTCATTTGCATTAGGAACTGTGTATGTGTACAACAATACAGCCAAATATAAAAGCCCAAGATAGTTCAAGACCTGGGAACCATTTCATTGGAAAACCAGAAAGGGAGACTATTGAAAGATCTGTGCTTAAATTGAGCATTTGTCTCACGCAGTAGTTTGGTAGAAACCTTTTGGGTTGGTTTGGTGAAGGAAGCTAGTCTTCTAACGCAGCAGCTACATTAGTGTTTATCCTTTCTTATCTAAGAGAAACAAAGTCTTGAACCGAGCAAGACGTTATTGGGCTAGCAAGGGAACTTGGGAAGATAAACTTACCTTCTTCTCCTTTTACACTCTTCATACGGAATGGAAAGAAAGTACCGGTGGTGGAATACGTCAATCAGCGGCCTGAAAGAGATACATGTTTGGTTACAGCTAGACCGTTTGATTAGTGGTAAGAAATGGAAAGGTAAAACTACATCCATTTCCTGCATCTAGAGCTATCTTCAGACTTGTGACACCTAAACTCAGCAGTAGTCAATACCAGCTGCTAACTCTTGGTTTAGAACAGGTCTTTTTATTCCCTTGGAGGTTCGTCCATCATGTAAAATCATGTGAAAATCAGAATGTGTGAAGTCACATTTGATTACCTGTAGGTGTAAAGTAGGAAGCCTTCAACAATAAGAATGTGGATTGTTTCATCTCTTCCCTCCTTATCCTGTAAGATCTGGGCATCCAGTGTGTTGTTGATCCCATGAGAACGTTCGAACTTGACTGGGTTTTTTATCCAAGCGTTTATGGTACTCATCATAGCTTCCATATCTAATGCACTAATCACTAAGACAAAACAGGCAACTAGCATTAAGCAGTAATTAAGTCTCATCAAGTAATAGTCAGTACAAATACAGTGTACATAAAGGATCAAAATACTCAAAAGTTTGAGTTACACTTTGATAACACTGTAGCAAAGCCTTACCATCATACTGTTTAAACCCATCTTCAACTTCTATTTCATCTTGGGGCTGAAACAGTGATAAGAAAAAAAACTGCTTGGTCAGCACAGCTACTGGGAAGCTTGATACCCATTTCAAAGCACGATTCAAGATCCGAACCCTGAAGCTACAAAGAGGAATCTTAACCCTCCACCAGCTTTCTTTACATGCAGATAAAAAGCAGTAGTAACGAGGCTACGATAAAAGAGCCGGCTCCTCTATCTTCCCACCAACACAAGCACACCGTGCAGCACTCCAAGAAAATGGAAAGTCATCGGGATGTATTGCAGCGCAGGCTTATCCACCAGCCGCGCAGCCAGCCCGGCTGAGCACTGCGGAGGAGCCGCCGCGGACGGTACGGGGAACCTGCGGGAGCTGGAAAGCGCGGGCAGGGCAGGGCAGCGCAGCAGGGGGGCAGGGCGCCAAGGAGAGAGGGCGGAAGCACGCGGGG